TTGTGAATGCTGTTATGTAGATTGATTAACTTCTACAACAAAACTGAAGTTAAACTGATCAAGCTGAAAGGGACAGGGAAGAATGCAGGCTAAATACACAGAGTTCACAGTCAGTGCTCACTACTCAACCAAGAAGAGATGAGATTCCACAGACTTCCTGTTACCGGTGCATGCATGTATTTTAAAGCAGAAGAGGAAAGCCAAAAAAGTGTCCATAATTTCATGAATGTACTCTCTCCTCAGGGATGACTAGCAGGGGGTGAGAGGTAAGCTTTTCATTTAAAATTGTTTAATATTCCTCTTTTAAATTAACAAAATTCCTCAGCAGGGCAGCAGATGGCCTGGAATGACACTAGCAATATTCATTACCCAAATTCAGATGAAAGATTTTTTTAAAGCTGCCTTATGTGAACTGATTTTTATTAATGATACAAACCATCTATTCTCTAACAAATATTTATTGGTGAGCTTTGTTGCATGCATATGTCTTTCTAATTCAAAAAATAATATATTTCAATGCTGCCTACCAGGATCATGAAACTTTTCTAACTATACTTACCAGATCAAGAAAGACTTGAAGGCAAAAGGTTAGCTATTCATATTCTGGTGCTGACCCCTGCATGACCTGGGGCTACATGAACAAGTACCAAGACTAAGCCACAAAATCATGGGTCTAAGTTCAAACCGATGGGCAATATAGAAAGATGAGACTTTTTCTGAAGATGCTATAGCACCCTTTAAGTATATATTCTAGATTCTAGAAACCATACTGGACAAAAAGCCAAGGGTAGAGAAGTTGAGGGGAAAAAAATCCAGTCACCTGCCATGGACCAGGTATGTCGTTATAGAAAATAACAGCCCCTAGCTGTTTCTACTATATCATTTCTAAATCCAAGTAAGTCGTACTTAAGGGTTGTTGTATTTGAAACCTTTAAAATTGAACATATCCTCTAATATTTACCCTACAACTTCTCTGCTTTCATCTTGTAGTCAATGGAAATAAAAACAGTCATGAGAAATCAACACACATATAACCCAAAGCGTTGTTACATTCTTCAGACTAATGTTTTGGGGCCATGATAAGTAAGTGCAATTATTTTCACATTTTTTTCCAGGGTCCTGTAACCCAAAAGCACTTATGTTTGGGGTTTGAATTCAGGACTCTGGGTCTAATGATCCCTAAGACACAACTGAGCTACAGTTGAATCACAATAATCCCTGGATAGATTCAGTGCTGTGAGGCCCACAGCAGAATCACATGTGGAGAAACTGTACCAGGACCCCTCCTAGCACCATCCACCTCCCACTGTGTGAGCTGCTGTGACTGCTCAGACTCACACAAGGGAAGGCTGTATGATTCATATATAACAATCATACAAACCCATCCAAGCACGTATGATGGACTTACTTGTGCTTATGCATGCAGTGTGGGAGACTAGCTTTTTGCTTTCTTTGCAGTGAGAACTCTGATTTCCCACACTGACCATCAGGATATCATACCATAAACATTTATATATTGCCAATTTAAACAATGCACAAACTGTTGTATCCATTAGAATGTAAAGGACCACAGGAGGCCAAGGTGGAACTGCTGTGAAAGTCATAACATTTATTGAAGAGAGGACATATGTTTGCAAATCACAGCGCTGCATACATGACATGGTTCACAATGACGTCCCAATTAGGCTTTTCATAGACTCATCGAATATGGTCCCTCCATAAAAAATAACTGAAAGGAAAAAAACATGTTAATTTGAAATTATGTTTACAAATCCAAATGGTAGTTTTCAATAAGAAAGAAATCTGTGCTTGGCTACTTAGAACCATGTTGAATACTCAGCACCCCCCCCACACACACACACTTCTATATGGGGACAGCTTTTCAACAAATGGCTTTAGTAACCCAGCTCATATCTCAGAACATGCTCAGGAGACAGGGCAGAAACTGCAATGAACATCAGAACATTTAACATTTGTCACACTCGATACACTTCGTCCTTGAGAGAGTCAACAGAGTATTCCATTTTTGGAATAAGACAAAATTAATGTCATAAAAGGCATGATACAGACTGTATTTCCATTTTAAATGTTTAAAAGTTCAGTAATTGCTATTTGGTCCATTGTCATAAATCTGGACAAAACTCTAAAAAACAAAAACAAAAAAAGCAAAAAAAGAAAGAACAGAAATGGCACAAGACTCTTCCTGTGGAACTTAACCACTCACTTTCCTAAGAGACATCTTTTAACAACAATGATAAAATATGAAACTTTATTTCAAGAACTTAATTTGAAAGAAAATATCTATTTTGATAAGTAAAAATAGAAGGATACATTGGTCATTCTAAATTACCTGCCCTTTTTTTCTCTATAGTTGTACCTAAAATAGTGATTAATTACCACACTAGAAAGTGACTTGATCTTCTCTCATTGGAGAATAATAAAACAGAGCTGCAGAGGATTTTAAAATCAAGAACCTAATACTGCAAGGTATCTGATGCAGGGATATGTAATTAATGATAATATTCATTATAAGTAAAATTAGAAAATTCTAAAACCAAAGCCTAACCAGCTTTGCTCAGCACAACTTGTATTTTTTATTTAATAAAGTATGTATGCATTCCTATGGTTTTAATCTAAGTTATCAACAGATTTCATATAAGAATTTTCCAACTCTTGTTGCTTGGTTAGAATTAAGACTTGGCAATTGACAGTTGGGTCGTTTCATTTCTATGTCCCTTCCTGCAATACCCTCTTATTCCTTATGTGCTTCAAAAGTGAGAAATCTTTCTATGCATGAATATGTATGTTCATACTGGATTAACTATTACATTCAAGAATGTACACAAGTCAAGAATTTTCCCTCAAATTTTATTTTCTTGAACTTCTCTTTTTGTTCTTCTTCAACTCCCTATTCAAGGGCCTTATTTACAGGTCTTAAAGGAGAAACACTCTAGATGCTGATCTCAACCTGAGGCAGGTGCTTCTGATCATGGCTGACTTTTCTTCACATTGAAGAGTTGGATGATCCCTCACCATCTGCATCATCTCGTGGCTAGTTTCATCTCTGATGTAGCTGTGGGAGAAGGACACTTGCACTCTTACTCTGTGTATCACTGTCATGAAATTAGGAGAATACACATCTGTCACACACCCACACCTCAAATTTATATGCCTGAAGTTATTATGAAAACAAGAATCCTAATAAAATAGCTACGTGTATGCCTATATGACTATTTGTCCAGATTTAAAAAGTTCTTGCCTTTATGAACTTGATCACTTTTTAGTATGTGAGTATGTGTGTGTATATACAGGCATGTGTGCAGGACAGAGAACAGCTTCAAGTGCTGTCCCTCAGATGGTATACACCTTTTAGGTTTGTGTATGTGTATGTATGAGAAAAAGAGAGAGAGAAAGATACAGAGACAGAGAGACAGAGGGGGAGACACAGAGTTTCTCACTGACATGGAACTCATCCAGTAGACCAGGCTAGCTGGTCAGTGAGCTCTTGGGATTACACCTGTCTCTACCTCCCTAGCACTGGGATTATAAGCATGGCTTCCACATTGCTTTCTTTATGTGGGTTTTGGGGGCCTAACACAAGTCCCCATACTTGCAAAGCCTGCACTTTACAGACTGAGTTATCTCCTCAGCACTATTGTTAAGTCACATTCTTTCCGTTCAATCACTAGCCATTTACTGATCTCCCATTATACGTGGACAAGATAGCTTTTTTGATCCTTCCTTAAAAAAAAAAAAAGCAAAGGGGCCTTATTCAATGGATGAAATTGAACATGTCAATATATTCTTGTGTTCTTAGTTAGTTTTAAGGTAACCTCTTCCACATAAGAGGAAAGGAAGAAAATAACAAACAGGGAAGGAGAGGCAGTCACTGCCTGCTAATGCCAGGCCTTGGTAGAAACTGTGGAATAAACTACAGAGCTCTCAAGCCTCTCAATAAGAGGAGGAGGTGTTTATTTTTACCATTTTATGAACAAGAGAAAAGAAGATTTAAGTTTCACAATTACATGTGATGATTCCTCAAGCTATACTATGGCGTAGGCATCTAACAGGAAAACACTGGGGATAGTTCTCAAATTTTAACTCAGATTTGAGTAATTCCAAAGTAAAAACGTAATACTCCCTGTCATCCTGTGTTTCAAATCACCAAGATGCTGTGTATAAACTTCTCTGAACTAAGAAGCTGCCGGAATTCTCTGGACTAAGAAACCCTGTGTTACCATAAAGTCAGCTCTTTCCAAGATTTTTAGCATTACTTGTCCCTTAACTTGCTCCTTCCTTAGGTCAAGAAATATTTCTCCCTCGTTTTGAGTGAGTGTGTACGCGTGCATGCATGTGTACATGGAGGCCAGAGATCAGTCTTAAATGTCATTATACATACCCTGTCCATCTTAGTATTTTGTTATTGTTTTGTTTTTATGATTTTTGTAGGTTTGGTGGGGAGGGGTGGAGTAGGAGTGTGTTTTCTTGTTTGATTTCTTATTTTGTTTGACGCAGTGTCTCTCATTGGCCTGGAACTCACCAAGTAGACTAGGGTGGCTGGCCAGGGAGTGTCAGGGCTCCTGCCTACTCCTCCCCAGTGCTGGCAATAAAAATGTACACCACACAGTTAGCATTTTTGTGTGGGTTCTTGGAGTCAAACTATTTTCTTGATGTTTTCATGGTACAGACTTGACCGATTGATCTGTCTTCGCTGTCTCTACTTTGTTTGGTTTTGTTGTTTGTTTGTTGAGATGGGGGTCTTACTACATAGCCCAGGTGGGCCTTGAACTTGCAATTCTTCTGTTGGGTTTACAGATGTCTGCCACCATAGTTGACTAAGCGACATACGGTGTAACATTTCTTCATACTCTCCTAAAAATTTTATAAATTGAAGAAAATTTTGCTACTAATCTCTGAACTCTTCAACATTATAAAATAAAATCCTACAGCCAATGATGTAATGTTTTAGGAAATATGAATTGATGTGACCAAAACATGAGGCTTGCTGACATATTTTAATAAACTGTTACTTCCTTTACATTCAAATATTAAGGACATCATCAGTACACAGATAAAAGGAATAAACTGTGAAAAATTTATTCTTCTTAAGGATAATTATTTATAGATGCACTTCAAGGTAAAAAGACTCTTTTTCTGTTATATTTTCTTATTTCAACTTGATTTAATATCAAGGAGTTCCCAAAGTTCTTTCCTCCCAAAGTTTTCCTCATTTAGCTTTAACTAAGAAGTCTTTCAGGCCCACTGGCTATTCTACCATTCTATATTCCGATTCTTAATTTTAGACTATTTTAATTTGAAATTCCAATAGTGACACAGAGAAAAGATTTAAATGTGGTCAAATAATTGAAGTCAGATATTACTCAAATGGAAAATAAAACTTGAAATGACCCAAGAACCCTTTTTGGGTTGCAGTAGATTTTATTCTATTGCCCCTGGGGAAAATAATAGTGAGAAATTGGGTCCTTTCTAGGCACAGTCCAGCAATGCAAATGTACATCTGTGAAATAAATCTGCCACAGATGCAGCACCTGGAAATGAGGTCTTAAGCAGGAAGCCATTTATTAGCACAATAAATCACATCAGTAGTCTGTTCAGACACCCACACCCCTCTAAAAAATCTGATGGATATTTTAGAGACCAGTTTATTTGAAAAGGTGACAAACAGTTGACTGGAGTACAATCCCTGTATAATGGCACAGTACATGTCACTTATGGGATAAGTTGCTCATGCTTTTAGAACCTCCTTAGATTTGTATTTAAGCATGATACAGACTTTATGCAGTAACTAAATTCATCTCTAAATCTAGCGCAAATATTTCAACTTTCGATTTCACAAACAACATTGTCATGAATGCCTTCAGAAGCCTAGTCCCTTCTTAACTGTCAATGTATTCCTAGGGACAAGGTGAATGTCAACCTCTTTTCCTTTGAAATTTTCTTGTTCTGGACCATGATTGTGATATAAACTTACATCTTTTGCATACTTTAAGAAGTAGAGAGAAGATTCCACAATACAGTACTGCTAAGGGGCTCTAAACGTGCCAGTCCTAGCCTAGTGTTACATTATTAAATCTTCCATGGTCTCCTCTTAACTAAGTTTAGATCTTATTGCGACCAACACGCAAAGGAAATAGCAATGAGAATCTGAAAAACTTCAGGCTCATGTTAATTTCCTTCCTAGCTCCCTCCCTGTTTCCTTTACTCTCCTGATGGTAGGTGGACAGAGTCCCTCATGGCTGCTGCCACTGTCCACTTCCCAGTCCCCAGGCCTGCTTTCAGAACCCTAATGAAGGAGGTTGGGTGAGAAAGGTGGGCAGTAGGATGAGGCAACTCAGGAAGGGCTGAGGATGGTGCAAACTCCAAGCAGAGAGGAAGTATAAACTTGCTCAGTATTATTCAACACATGGTATTCTTATTATGTCATACCTCAGCCAGATCAATATTTTTAAGTTATAAGTTTTCTTCCTTTAGTGTTCTCCCTTGATCTGTCAGTTCTATGGTTATACCTATATGTGAAATAATTACATAAAGAACTTTAAAATAAGAATTCCTTCACCAAACTATATGAGTATATGAAATATCATAACTTAAGTCAAAGTTTCTGTTCTCCACGTAAAGGCTAATTTGGAATTGATATAATGAACTAGTTATCGCCAGAAACCTACTTTTATATATTGTACTTAAAATTAGTAATGCCCACGTGCCTTAGTCAACCTCACCTATTTTCATGAAGAATTCATAGATTGAAGGGTAGAAGCCCAAGAGACGGACAAGGCTTCTTCCCATATGGTGTGTCCTTTGAAAACCGAGCCCAGCACCTCAAGAGTGCTATTCACTGGCTTGCTTCTAACTACTACAAGTCAGTTACCCAGTTTACTAAGTTGATTACTCCAGAATTTTCCAAGCAAAAAGTTAAGCTGATGAGGATTTCCAGGGTCACCATCCAGTTCCCTTTGTGAAAGAAGGTTCTAAATATGCCCTTTTCCAGTCTTCAGCACCTCATCAGTCCTCCACGAGTTCTCAAAAATGATATCTAGCGGTTCTGTGATGACTTCGGCCAATTCATTAAGTACTCTAGGATGCCAGCCATTGGGACCTGTGGATTTGAACATATCTGGGTTATTGAAATTCTCCTTTACCCATTCTTCCCCTAGTGCACCAAGGATTCCTGCTCCTGTTTTCGAGCCTGGCTTGTCCCTTTCTGGATCATATAGATTCTTGATAAAAACAGATTTCAGAGTCTGTTTATTATGTATCAATTTTCTCTTTTAAGCTAATGAATGAGGGATGTATTTTATTTGTCTCAAATCGTTGGCTTATTTTAAAATTGTCCGCATTTCTTTTCCTCTCATGTTCCTTGTAAGAAAAGGAAATTTTTAAAATTTAATCTATCTTGCAATAATTTGCGTTCCTAAATAATGTTACTTGATACACACAGTAACTTTTAATAACAAAGCAACAGTCAGTGTTCTGCAGGCGGTCTGAACTCTGAAGGCTTCCTGTCTCACGCTCAAAGGGCGTTTTTCTATTCAACTTGTATCTGTATCTGCCAGTGCTCATTCAAAATGCATCTTCTGAAATAAAGAAGATTCACAATCATCTTTAATCATTATCATTTGTATGCATAAACAATGACTTCCTCTGCAAGGCATTTCAAAAGCATGCGCTAGCAATGAATGAGGGTTTCTGACAAAGCTCAACCTAGTAGGATTCATCTGCTGTGTGGTCATTGGCGTCCAGGGTCTCAGGTTTACATTACACTAATGATCTTCAAGTTCTGATAGGTGTTGACAGTTTTAACCCCTTTATTGTCATAATGACTCCTCTGAAACTGAAAGACAGCAACAGATTACAGTTTCTGGCCCATCTGTCACGCACTGCCATGTGCTGAGAATGCTGAGAGGCTCAGGATGGACAAAGGAGAAGAAAAGCAAAGTATACTAAATGAGGAGAAGGCTACCTGAGGCTTTCCTTGGACTGTCATGTCTCGTGGACCAACTGTTTTTTTTTAAAAATTGGAAAAGCTTTTGGGAAAGGTTGAATTCATTTTTTTTTCTTTTTTTGTTTAGTTTTGTTTCCTAGTCTTATTCCTCCAACTTTACACTCAGGTTTATCCTTTGAAGCTTAACAATGCCAAAAGAACAAAATTCATATTGCAGATATTATCAAGTCACCATTAAAGAACAATTCTGCATGTTTTTCTAAGATCCGATTTGTTTCCACACATGCTCCCTTCACCCTGTTCCTACAATAGCTGCCTGCTGATGGCAATATGTTAGCTAATATGTCATTATTAATTAGTTTGGGGGATACTATCAGGCAATCACATCTAGGTTGATAGACAGTATCACTGCCCATGCTCAGCAAGTCTCTTCTCCAGAGAGAACTATTCACAAGCCTCTGTTTTAGTACCTTTGGTATTCCAACATGAAGAAAATCTTATTAATAATTAATACTTCCAAAAGCCACCATAAAAATAGTCTAGTTTGATGCCTCTATTCAAAGCACCTCCTGTGATAACCTGTGAAAAGTAATCTTTAATCCATCTCAACAAACCAAGTGATTGGGGCGTTCTGCAGGGGGTTCAGAGAATAAGGTAAAGTCCTACAGAGAAGGGGACTCGCTACAACACCAAACAGGAAAGTGCTGGGGTTTCCTTGCTCCAATGAACAAATAAACAAAAGCAGCACATTAACAATAACTATTATATTTGCTATATGGTATAACTAGCTGTTTGTATCAGGAAGAAAAGGAAATAACAGAAAGAACCTGAGGTTAGAATGTTAGGGGTCACTAGGAGGATAGAAGACTGGCTGAGAAAAAAGAGATTCACAATGTACCTGCTCCGGTGAGACGGGGCCCTGAGTGGTCAGCTAAGTGGTCTTGCCCGTCTCACACATTCCAAGAACATAGGAAGGGAGGAAATGCCTTTGGACATGTGATGTGATTCTCTTCAAGCACCGCCACCCTCCACATTAAACTCATCTGGACACTCAGTCCATGGAGTCATTTTATGTATCTAACCACAAGTCACCAGCTTCCAAAACCTCTCTTGCCTTTGGTTATACAAAAACAAATCAAATTTATTCAACAAGTCCAGCCTTGCAATTTGTTATTTTACATTCTTTGGGGAAGAAGGTGGGAGGCAGACAAACAGGATCTCCGCAGTTAGGTCATGGGGAGTTTCAAGATGTGAGAGCAGTCGCAGAGAACAGTAATTAGCAGAGCACATGTTGCTTCATGATATGAGAACTGTTAGTAATTTCCCTGTTACCGACACTCTTCATGCTCTGATGGCTGATACACATTGTGACATCCCACAGCCTGGTCCTGATAGGGACCACTCAAGTGGAATAGAAATGAGCAGACTTAGAATTCTGACAGGCTAAGAAAACTATTGAGAAGAACTCTTAGGGGCAAACATGCATTTCAGAACGCTTTCCCATCATGCATTTTGTCATAGCTCATTTTCTCCTTAAATCATCTGGAATTCTCTTACAAAGAAAAACAGGTCTTTCTTCATTCCATCAAGAAAAAAAAATATGTTTACAGCTATTTATGTCTTCTTCCTCAATTATTGTTCAAGTTTGACTTAAAAATCATGAAAGTGGTCAGGTCTGGTGGTACACACCTTTAATCCCAACACTTGGGAGGCAGAAGCAGGTAGATCTTTTTCAGATCCAGGCCAGCTAGGTCTACATAGCAAGTTCCAGGCTACCTGGGGTTACAGGGAGACCCTGTATCAAAAAGACCAAAATAATAATAATAATAATTATAATTATAATTATTATTTAAAAAAAGAAAGAAAAAAAGAAAAGAAAAAGAAAAGGAATCATGAAAGTGAGATGGGGCTGTAATCTCAATGGTCTCATCTAGCATGTAAGACATCCAGGGTTCAATTTTCAGTACTTACGTCTGCCCACTGTGACGATGGCTGGAACCATCCACATTATTATTTTTACATACAAAATTCTCACCAAAATGGGCTGCTGCTGAGAAATTTTAATCTAGAAAGTCAGATTGGAGTACATTTTCCTTCACCTTAGTAGAAAAAAAAAAGTGATTGATGCATGTTCCCTAAGCTCACGGGGGTCTTGATAGTCATTTTCAATTCCCTGGAAGCTCTAAGGGATTCCTGTCAGTCTTCTGCCTGGGGACTGCTCATGCTAGCCCCTTACCTTCCAACAGGTGAGAAGATGTAATGTGCTATTATACAAACAGCTGGCATACAGATACATCTTTGTGCATCTTTTTTATACTAGGAAACCCATATAGGGAAGCCTTCCCAGGATTCTATAGACTAGATACATGTCTGTCTACTCCAAGGGACCTACACAGATTTGCTTTTAAATTTTAGACATAAATACCCAAATGTCATCCATCACATCATAAACAGTTCCAGCTCACTATCTGATCCGTCTCTATCCTGCTGGTTGGGAGGGGCTGGCTTATGCTCTGTTTCTGGAACCAATTAAATGGATTATAAGGAACTGCCTCTCCATGGCTCCTCTGGACACACATGGTTCTAATCTTCACCCAGGACTTATCTACAGCTTTACAGCAAATGTGAAATATACTGAAAAGGCTGCCTGGAAATTTTCCTAGCTGCTTATTATTCAGAAAACTCTCAGAAACACACTCAGAGGTTAAAAAACAAAAGCATCTTTGTTTATGCTATCCTCAGGGCATTAACTGATTTTATAATTTTTCCAACTGAATAGCTATGTAAATTCTCAACTTTTTAAAAGGCTTCAAAATGGAAAGCTGCTTTGCCAAGCTCATCCCTGAATACTGAGTAAGCTGACTTACACAGCAACAACCTGCAGGCCTGTGGAGGTCATGGACAGCCAGCACCTCAGGACCTAGTCCTTCTGTGCCAGGACCTCCACAAGGTTTGCAGTCAGAGCTGCATTCTGTCTCCCCCATCAGAAACAAAGGCTCAGGAATTTAATTGCAAGATTTTTTATTGAGCTTTCCATTGTTTTGTAATAATTAACAGCCTGTCAGAACAAGAACCCAAAGTTAGGTCATCTCTCTTTAGAGAAGTTTAATAATATGGCTCAGCAGGTGAAATGGTAGCCATTTAAGAACAAACAAGGAACTTGGCCATAGTTACAGATTGAGTGGAAGGATTCCATGGAGAGAGCCTAGGGGGAGAAAGAAAGAGAAAGGGAGAGAGAGAGAGAGAGAGAGAGAGAAACAGCAATATTTATAATCATCAACTAGAAGGGAGGGAGGGAGGGAAGGAGGGAGAGAATGAGAATGAATTAAGGGTCATAATACCTGCTGAAGTTAAGAATAATAATTACGGAGGGATTTGTCTTAAACCAAAGGGGGGTCATGCCTCAGGAAAACTGGAAGGAAAGGCTACCAGATGGGCTAATATGGCCGCACATCTGAGGTACAGGGGAGTGATCGAGCTCATGAACACTGTATTCCTTCCTTCTTCAGTGATGATGGGCCAAGGCTATCTACAGGATGGGCAGTGAGGTGAATCTGTAAGGAAAAAGGGACAAGACCAAAATCTCTACCCTGTCCACTGCTTTAGGAAATTGGTCTGGCTGCACCAGGAAAGCAAGTTTAGATGAGAAGGCACAGAAGAACAGTGACAAGGGACTGGGAGTTTATGCTTTCCTCATGTGTTCAGAGTCTCCAGAAACCATCCAAAATGGGATCAAAGCACAGGCTCACAAATGCCCAGAGCACAGAAGACAGTAATTGTCAAAAGCGTGGCCCTGGGTGTTTGGTTCTCCAGTACAGTTCTTTGAAACACATTTGATGGCTCTTTGGATGAAGAGTTTCCGGTGATATCATTTTCTACCCAGTGTCCTGGGCCATTCAAAGCTCATGTCTCTTAGCTTACTCCAAGGATCACCAACCTACTTGCCATATATTAAGGCTAATGTTGATTTCAAAGACTGTTTGTACATAATAGTAGATGATTTTATGATGAATAGGAAGATAAATCAGGGAAAGAGAAACAACAGGAACTACATTTTCTGCCTCTCATCATTTCTCAGATTATAATTCTAAAATTGAAACAGATGTGGACTGGAGAACTGCTAGGTCTCTGCGAAGGGAAAGGCTCTCCAGATT